TAACTACTATTATCTATCCTACATATCCTCAAATTATGCGACCTTTGCTCTGTCGCTATACGCCCTTACAGCATCCCCATTTGTTAACCCTCTACCTTGAGGTGCTTTAAATTGCGTGAACAATAGTAAAAAATGCTATTATAAAACATTCTCACATGAATGCTTACCTGGCCACTACAATCATTAATTTCTTCAAGATTCAACTCATCTTTCATTCATATTGCACTCCTCATTCATAGCAATAATTTTAGCTGTAACCGTCTAACATGAGTGGCTCTCGAGTCTGGGTGAATTTAATATAAAACTAACCATATCATTGGGCTGACTGGTCAGTTTCTCTTTCCATATTTTTCCAGGTAAACTCGTGACACTATCATTGGGAAATTCACATAGAAGACGAAGGTAAATGATTTTATCTGATTGTGCTTTATGACCAGCGATAACGTCTGTGGAGTTGCATCTTTAAATCGGTCACACACTTGATTAAAAGAGAATAAAATAATATGTAAATACATGAGAACTTTTAGGGAGCAAGTGACAACAAACTAGACATTAAATATTTCCGTTCACAGGCTAATATTAGCAGTCTCAGTTGACATTATGGTGAGTTCGGAGGCGCCCGTTGGTGGAAACTTGGCTGACCGTCGAGTCCCAGTGTTACCTGTTAGAGTTGCCAGTCGCAGGTTGTGGTGTAGAGCTGAACAGAGAGGTGGTAGGAAATTTATTTTCTTTGAATGAATTGAATAAAATAAACGTTATGCATTCGCTATCCTTTCTCTGACATTATTTTTTAACGATTCACAACCGCCATCTTCCCAAACCGAAACAAAGGTAGCGAAAAGCAAAGTTCTCGGTCCGCCACGGGCCACATGATGCTCGATTGGCTTTCTTTCATCAGGAAAATAAGGTTTATTTAAAATATGTTTGTTTCGATCCATTCTCACTAAATGGCGTCTAGGAAAATAAAAATATTGCTTAAAAGATGCTAAAAGCGGCAGAAGTTGTCCAAAGTTGTCCACAGAAGTGAGTAGGAAGATAACAATTAAATATACTATTAACAGAGTTTTAAGTCTTCATTTCTTACCGGGCGTTTATTTTCACCTTTCGTTTCCTTGTAAGTGTGTATCGGGCCTTTCACAGTTTTTGTGCACAGCGATGCGAACGAGAACAAAGATGCAACGAGAGGTCAAGTGTCCGGTTGATGAAAAGCTAAGAGGGTTTTGTTGCATGCTTACAGACTTAAGGTGTGCCTCTCAAGGTTGACAAAATTAGCAACAATTTTGTGCTGTTAAAGCCTGTTCATTTAATATCAGTTTGGGAGAGTCTTGGAAATTATTCAGTTTTTATGTGACGTACAATCGGGTAATCATGGCTCTCCACGACATCCTGTGATTTAGTGCCCTAAGTAACTTTTGACCTGTGTAGTGGGCCGTGGCGGTTACCACTTGTAGTGGGAATGGCGGTTGCCACTTGTTGAGGGTTCATGGTGTTAAGTTGTTGATAGAAGTCAGACGTAGAAGAAACACATGTAAGGTTCAGATACTCCTGCTTGCCGAGCCCAACTACATAAAAAGGTTGGACTTTGATTAAGTCCAAAGAAGAAGGTAAAGAAAGCAAACAAAACACAAGACCGATAATATATGTATATACAAATATATATTAATAACAAGTTACAATACATGGAAACAGTACAAAGGACGAAGTGTGTGTGAATATTCTGTATGTGCGTGCGTGTGTGAATATTCTGTATGTGCGTGCGTGTGTGCGTATTGTGCTTAGCGTGTTTCCACGCTATCCCTTGTTAGCGTCTACATTTCGAGGTTGATAGCTGAAATCCTGAAGGAAAAAGAGTGTGTGTGAATATTCTGCATGTGCGTGCGTGTGTGAATATTGTGCTTAGCGTGTTTCCACGCTATCCCTTGTTAGCGACTATATTTCGAGGTTGATAGCTGAAATCCTTTAGGAATAAGAGAGTTTACCTCAAAGTGTCGGTGCACAGGCCTGAAAGAAAAAGAGATAGAGGCAAAGAGTCAGCGGCTATTTATAGCCAGGGAAGAGAGACCCCTGGTGAAAGGGTTAACGGAGTAAAGGAGGAGTTAACTCCGACACCTGTTACCATCCGTTTTAATTCTTGTATGGCTGTCAATTCACTTTTATTATGTGTCATGTCCCTTCAGGATGTTAGCAATCATGGCTCTCCATACCTTCCTGTCAGTTTTTGCTTTAAGTAACATTAGGCCCTTTACCACCCCTCATTGAATTTGTTCTGTTATCTAACCCCTTTTACTTCTTCATTATGCGCCATGTCACTTCAGGATGTGACCATTCATGGCTCTCCGTAACTTGTTCACAGAAACGTATTAAGAGAGTTAGTCGTTGTTTTCCACCTTTCATATTGTCTTTAATCAGCCTTGCGACTGTTAAACGGTCGAAACCCACTTTCTTTCATTATGTGTCCCAGAAATTTCAGTTATCTTCTTATGATTGTAAGTATAATATCCATTTAGTTTCTCTTTTCATTAAAACTTCATCGTTGTTTACATATTGTGCCCAAGGTATTCTCAGCATTCAGTGCATCCAGTAATGCTATCGTTTATGGCATCTTTTTCATCTGTAAGGAGACAGTCCAGCATTCACTGCCATATAAGTGATTAAATATTCTATAACAGTCCAGCAGTTTTTTCTTTATTTCAAAAGATAATTTCCTTAATTTTTAACATTTTGATTAGTTTATGAAAGGTATGAAGAGATTGTCCAGCATTCACTGCCATATAGGAGATTAGATATTACATAGCAGTTCAGCACCCCTTTCTTTGTTTCTAACGATATTTTCCTCTTACTTAATACTTTGTTTAGTTTATGAAACGTATGAGGAGATTGTCCAGCATTCACTGCCATATAGGAGATTAGATATTACATAGCAGTTCAGCACTCTTTTCTTTGTTTCTAACGATATTTTCCTATTTCTTAATACTTTGTTTAGTTTATGAAAGGTATGAGGAGATTGTCCAGCATTCACTGCCATATAGGAGATTAGATATTACATAACAGTTCAGTACTCTTTTCTTTGCTTCTAACTATATTTTCCTATTTCTTAATACTTCGCTCAGTTTATGAAAGGCCTGAGGGATTGTTCAGTATTCACGCACATATAGGAGATTAGATATTGTATAGAACAGTGGTTTTCAACCTTTTTGCTGGAGCGGAACTACAAGGAAATATTCCAGTGGCTCGAGGAACCCCTGCAATAAATTAATTGTCTTATGCAAAAAAAAAAGCTTTCAATTATTAAAATAAAATAAAAAAACTCATCTTCAGATTTATTTACAAAAAAATACAAAGACAAACTGTAAAGATATTGTATACGTATATATGTAATTTTAATCTTGCTTCTACGGTTATTATAATAATAATTTCAAAAATAATTTCATTTATTTGTGAATAAGTCCTGAAAGTTTCATTAAAATCCGACAATTATTTGATTTTTGCGAGAATTTTCAAATTAACGTGTTTGTCACCGAAAAAAAGTGGGTGATATAATTTTTACGTTTTCCATTGTAAAACAGTCGTAACGTTTGTTCAACCGCTAAACTCAAATCAAAATAAAATTTTCTGATAAAATTTTGAAAATGTTCGAAGGGATTAAAATTTTTTTTAAAATAATTAAAAATTACTTTGATCTTTCCTCTTAAAAAAAAATATAAACATTTCGATGGAAAAAGTTTGTTTTATTAAGTTTGGGACCTTTTTTTATTCATACTATGCTGTTTTGTTATTGATTTAGTGGAGGTACCTAAACACACATATCTGCAGGGGAGAATTCAAAATTACTGTGAATCATAGTACTTGTGTAATTTCTTGCGGAACCCCTGGGCTTTACTGGCGGAATGCTAGGGTCCCACGGAACCCTGGTTGAAAACCACTGGGACAGAAGTTCAGTACTCTTTGTTTCTATCGTTATTTTCCTGCATGTTCATACCGTGCTTAGATTCTGGAAGGCATATTTTCTCTATTACTGCGTGACTTCCGGGTTTCTCTGTTACTCAGAGAGTTCTCCAAACTGCTATTTTCTTCTGTTTCTTTTGACTTCAATATGCATTATGAGTTTGTTTTTTTTTTTCATTATGTGTCCCAGACATTTCAGCCGTCTCTTTGTGATTGCTGGCAGTGGTAAAAATGCAAAATTACACACCGACCTCTAAAAAAAAGTGAATTTTGTAAGTAGAATTTATGGAAATTTAAAGACAATCAATAATTGATTGAAATCTTAAAATATAATTTGAACACTTAATATTTTTAAAGATAAGTCCCCAGAAAAATCAGCTTGATTAAACATTTAATTTTAAGCTGCGTAAAAATTATGCCCGCAATCAGAAATAAATATTGTTTCGTTTCAAACGTTTGAATTAAATTTTCTTTAGACTTTTCGGTCGGATGGAGGGGCGGGGGGGAAACAAATAATTTTTTTAAAGATTTATTATCACTTTTTTTAATTATTTCATCCCAATTGAGACAGATGTAAATGGTTGTACCATCAGTACAGACAGCAAGTTGTGAGCTGATGTGTGTGTTTTTGGTTTTTTTTTTGTTTTTTGAATGAGTGATCCGGCTTTTATGGTTCATCAAACATTTGCTGGCTGTTTAAAGCCAGACCATATTTTTTAGACTGTAATAATTTTTGGAGATAATAACAGTTTAGCGATACAAGTCTTACTAATTAACCCATAGCTGAGGGAGAAGAAATGGATTAATGGTTTTCCCCTAAGGCATTTGCGTGTAAGCGAAATTAACGAAACCGATGAGAAATGGAATTCCGTTTACCCGATTAAAATTCCGAGCCACTGTCTATTACACCCCCGCACATCCAAGATTACAGCAGTTACTCGCTATTTCCAAGCGGTCACTCTTCTAGATACTGACCAGGATCGACGTTGCTTAACTTCGGTGATCGTACGAGAACTGTAAATATGGATGTGCTATTTTACTAGCACATCCAAATTTACAACTCCTGCTATTCCCAAGCAGTCACCCATCTAGGTACTGACCAGGATCGACGTTGCTTAACTTCGGTGATCGTACGAGAACTGTAAATATGGATGTGCTATATTACTAGCACATGCAATTTTACAACTCCTGCTATTCCCAAGCAGTCACCCATCTAGGTACTGACCCAGGATCGATGATGCTTAACTTCTGTGATCGTACGGTAATCATTGTTTCAACGTGACGTCGCTGTATGACATACTATCCATATATCCAAACTTACAGCACCTGGTATTCCCAAGCGGTCACCCATCTAGGTACTGACCAGGATCGACGTTGCTTAACTTCAGTGGTCGTACAAGAACTGGTGTTTCAACGTGATATGGCTGTAAGCATACAAACCTGGTATTTCCAAGCGGTCACCCATCTAGGTACTAACCAGGCTCGATGTGGCTTAACTTCAGTGGTCGTATGAGAAACTGGTGTTTCAAAGTGATATGGCTGTAAGACTTTATATCACCGGCACATCCAAATTTACAGCTCCTGCTATTTCCAAGCGGTCACCCATCTAGGTACTGACCAGGATCGACGTTGCTTAACTTCAGTGGTCGTACAAGAACTGGTGTTTCAACGTGATATGGCTGTAAGCATACAAACCTGGTATTCCCAAGCGGCCACCCATCGGCGTTATCCATTACACCACCCGCATACAAAGCTGGTATTCCCAAGCGGTCACCCATCTAGGTACTGACTAGGTTCGGCGTTTCTTGCCTTCGGTAAGCCGAATTAAATTGTTACATTTCGTATATGCGTGTTTTGGATGTATGTCTGGTCTGGGGGTGTTGTCTGCTCTTTGTTACGGAACTCAAATATGACTGGTTCGTTTGCTTCACCAGATATAATCGTGTGGATTAAGAGATCATCAGTAGTTAGACCAAAATTCTGTCGTTGTGTCCCTGCAGAAAATCAATGATATCGATCTCCCACAGAGCGTGGTAACCATTCACTTATGGTTGATAGTTGCGGTTGACTGATAGTTGTCGGCTTGAGAGGAAGAAAAGTTCTTTGATAAACGAACCAAAAGCATTCTGTAAGCTTAACAGAATTTAATGTGAGGAGAGAAAAAAAATGTCTACAAAATTTAGCTTCTACGAAATGGCTCTTGATATTTCACCCTATTCACTGTGTCTGTGTGTTCGACGAAATGCGTGTGCCTTATCGAATCCGGGTCGTTTTCTCCCCTCACAGAAAATGACTACCAAACGAAATGCGCGCTTGCTTATATGGGGAAATCTTCCCTAATAACAATGATTAATTACATCACTTTACCTAGCCAGGCCTTAGAAAATGACAATTTACAACGCTCGGAGCTCACGTGTTATCTCCTTATTTCCTTAAAGTCAGCAGTTGGCTTTTCTTACTGGTGAAGGATTCCTCGCTAGAAAATCAAAATATTGATGATTATAAAATTTGTAGACGATTGTCGCATAAAGGCAACTTCTGGTTTCTGTATAGTCATCAGCTTCAAATTAATTTCGCCCTCATCAGTTTTCAAGCCTCGTATTAACCCTTTTCATACAAACGCTGTTACCACCTAGGTGAAGTTCATTAAAAAAAAAAAAAAAAACATATCCAAGTGCCAACTCCGTTATGGCCGAATGTTATTTTGACGTGATATCTGGACTTTAAAATAAATTAATCTTACTTTATCAGATTTCAACATAATTTCTCATTTCCTTCTTCCAATTTCCGGTCCGGGGTTCGTGCCGTCCTGAAGCCACAGTTGGGAGATAGGCAAGAAGTAAGGCATGTAGCAACATCAGCACGGCAAAGGGCACTCCTTTAAAGGCAAGGAAGGGCAAAAATATTTTAAGTCAAGTGATAGCAATTGATGTATGAGTCATACGATTTTTAATCAAGCACGGCCAACGCCGGGTCATGCTGCTAGTATATATATATGTACAAATTTCTGGCGGAGTGACTTGCGTCAAGGTGCTCTTTTTCTCACAGACGTTGCTCAACTGAACCTATTATATGTTGCAGTCAACAAAATAAAAAAACAGACGACGCGCATGCGCAAAATGATATATAACCTGGCGACAATTTACCCATCGCAATCTGTATATTCATGCAAGAAGGCGAAAGCTTCTTCCTATTCTAAAAAATTGACAGTTGCCCACCTTGCGAAGAAGGTCAAAAGGATGCCATATTAAGGGAATGGTCAGCAGCCTTCTCCAAATACTGATTTATTGATCGATTCGCTTTCTACAGCTTATCAACACTCTGCAGGTTATTTAAAGCCAGACATATTTTTAGATTGTAATTTTCTTTTTAGATAATAATGATTTAGTGACAGAAGTCTTATGAATTAACAAGAAGCTGAGGAATGTATTGGGTTCATGCCTTTCCCAATTGTATTTGCGCATAAGTAAATATAAGGAAAACAAACTGAAATAAGAGCTCGACTCTCCGATTAACAATTTCGAGCCATTATCCATATGCATACAAACCTGGTATTCCCAAGCGGTCACCCATCTAGGTACTAACCAAGCTCGATGTGGCTTAACTTCAGTGGACGTATGAGAACTGATGTTTCAAAGTGATATGGCTGTAAGACTTTATATCACCGGCACATCCAAATTTACAGCTTCTGCTATTTCCAAGCGGTCACCCATCTAGGTACTGACCAGGATCGATGATGCATAACTTCGGTGATCGTACGGGAACCATTGTTTCAACGTGACGTCGCTGTAAGCCATACTACCCACACATCTAAACTTACAGCAACTGTTATTCAAAGCGGTCACCCATCTAGGTACTGACCTGGCTCGACGTTGCTTAACTTCAGTGATCGTACGAGACCTGGTATTTCAACGTGATATGGCTGTAAGCACTTTATATCACTCACACATCCAAACTAACAGATCCTGCTATTCCCAAGCGGCCACCCATCTAGGTACTGACCAGGCTCAGCTTTATCCATTACACCACCCGCATGCAAAGCTGGTATTCCCAAGCAGCCACACATCTAGGTACTGACCAGGCTCGGCTTTATCCATTAAACCACCCGCATACAAAGCTGGTATTCCCAAGCGGCCACCCGTCTAGGTACTGACCAGGCTCGGCTTTATCCATTACACCACCCGCATACAAAGCTGGTATTCCCAAGCGGCCACCCATCTAGGTACTGACCAGGCTCGGCTTTATCCATTAAACCACCCGCATACAAAGCTGGTATTCCCAAGCGGCCACCCATCTAGGTGCTGACCAGGCTTGGCTTTATCCATTAAACCACCCGCATACAAAGCTGGTATTCCCAAGCGGCCACCCATCTAGGTGCTGACCAGTCTCGGCTTTATCCATTACACCACCCGCATACAAAGCTGGTATTCCCAAGCGGCCACACGTCTAGGTACTGACCAGGCTCGGCTTTATCCATTAAACCACCCGCATACAAAGCTGGTATTCCCAAGCGGCCACCCATCTAGGTACTGACCAGGCTCAGCTTTATCCATTACACCACCCGCATACAAAGCTGGTATTCCCAAGCGGCCACACATCTAGGTACTGACCAGGCTCAGCTTTATCCATTACACCACCCGCATACAAAGCTAGTATTCCCAAGCGGCCACCCATCTAGGTACTGACCAGGCTCAGCTTTATCCATTACACCACCCGCATACAAAGCTGGTATTCCCAAGCGGCCACCCATCTAGGTACTGACCAGGCTCGGCTTTATCCATTACACCACCCGCATACAAAGCTGGTATTCCCAAGCGACCACCCATCTAGTTACTGACCAGGCTCGGCTTTATCCATTACACCACCTGCATACAAAGCTGGTATTCCCCAAGCGGCCACCCATCTAGGTACTGACCAGGCTCCATTTTATCCATTACACCACCCGCATACAAAGCTGGTATTCCCAAGCGGCCACCCATCTAGGTACTGACCAGGCTCGGCTTTATCCATTACACCACCCGCATACAAAGCTGGTATTCCCAGACAGAACCAAAAGTTATTCTATTCTTTGAGGTATGTTTTTTTACTTTATCTGTAGATATTGACCAGGATGAACGTTGCTTAACTTTGGTGACCCTATGGGAACCCGTGTTTCAGACTGATATGGCCTTAAGTCTCTCCACATATTAATCTAATAAAAGACTGGTTCATCGTTAAAAGGAATGTGTATGAAGAGAGAAAACTATATTCGGGCAAAGAATATTTTTGGAAAGCAATAAAAACTGCTTCATGTAAAGCTAAATTGAAAATAAAGAACGATTTAACAAACTCAATGAAAAATAACCTCTGAAGATTACAAAATGTCAAGTGGCCTGTATTAGATGCAAAATGTAATAATGTTTTGTTTTTTTCCAATTATAACATGATAATATTTATTTATGAATATCTTTATGTGGCCAATATCTTTTTAATTTCTGTCTATATTGCTGAGATGAGATGTATACGTATATATAGATATATACTCGGAAAATACTTTGCGGGAATAAAAATGAATAAATATGACCACAGTACCTTTCTTGCTGTCTTTAATCATAAATCAAGAAAGCTTTAACGTAATTATAAAAGGATTTTATTGAGAATAAATAAAAACACTTCTAAATCGTTTAATCAGACGTCTATATATATATATATATATATATATATATATATATATATATATATATATATATATATATATATAAGCTTTAATTAAAAAATTATTATTTAAGCAAGAAATGAAAAAATTCTATTCTTTTGAGGTACGTTTTTCTTTATCTGTAGGTATGGACCAGGATGGATGTTGCTTAACTTTAGTGACCCTACGGGTACTCGTGTTTCAGACTGATATGGCCTTAAGTCTCTCCACATATTAATCTAAAAGAAGACTGGCTCATCATTAAAAGGAATGCAAATGAGGAGAGAAAACTATATTCGAGCAAAGAATGTTTCTGGAGGGCAATAAAAACTGCTTCATGTAAAGCTAAATTGAAAATAAGGAACGATTTAACAAAGTCAATGAAAAAATAATCTCTGAAGATTACAAAATGTCAAGGGGCCTGTATTAGATGCAAAATGTAATAATGTTTTTTTTCCCCTTATAAAAGATAACGTGATAATGTTTATTTATGAATATCTTTATGTGGCCTATATCTTTTGAATTTTTGTAGCGTTTCGGATTGAGGAATCAGACCGGGTTCTATAGCCTTGGTCTACCGCAAAAAGAAATGGCAACCTACTGCGGGAAAAATCTGCCTCGTCAATCATGTATCGAATGATACATGCTCGCCTAAGCGTGTATCACATATGTCACAAAATTGACTGCCTATATCCTGAGATGAAGCATTGTTGCTATTTGCACTATTTACATTGTTCGAACTGTTGTCCTCGTTTTTATTGTCATATTCACCACGTTTCTGCCGTTGTACGCTTGAACCTTCTTCAGGTGATAGACACTAGAATTTCAAGCCGAACCCGTTATTACACATGGCCCAGTAGATAAATGTGTTCGTTGAAGTAATTCAAAGGCAACTTGACCAAAAGAGTTGTGTGTTCAATACCTGACCAGAGCAGAGGTGAACCAAAAAACTTGGAGAATTGAGTTACTGAAGGCAATTAACTGAAAAATGAGATATCCAGAAAGGGCATGGCACGTGGATCTAGAATAATCAACTCTCGTGGACTAAATAAATAGTTCGGTTCGAAATTTCAATGTATATCATCTGAAGAAGACCGGAGCGTACATCGGCTGAAACGATGGGAATATAACAATAAAGATAAGGACAACAGTCCGAGCAAAGTAAATAGTATAAATACCTTTTGAATTATTGTTATTATTTAGTGAAAGAAAAACATATCAAGAAATGAACACACCATCTCTACCATAAAAATCAATTGTAAATGATTTTATTATAAAAATATGTTGCAAATGATATTAATATAAATATGAATTGTAAATTTTTTACTAAAAAAATTCATTGTGAATTATTTTACAAGAATGAATTGTAAATGATATTACTATAGAAATACATTGTAAATGAGTTTAGCATAAGAAGGCATTGTAAATATGTTTACTATAAGAATGTAACTATGGAATCTCTACAAATATCCTTAAATGTCTATAATTGGTAACAGAAGCCATTGATTTATGCCAACGGCTTCCCATACTTAATACTTCTCGAATTCACTCTCGCGTGGTCATGTGTGACGTCATGAGCTTCTAGCGTCTTATATGCACGTGTTTATCGTTGCAAGGAAACCATCCATGTAAACAATCACAGACTATCACCACTGTCTTGTCCGTATATTGCTTCATATATTGTACAGTAACTGACATCTTTGATAATGGCTTATGTAAGCCGAAAGCTTAGAGTGGATTAATAATTATGGATCAATATTGTGATTTTCTTTCTTCGTTTAATGATAATGTTATTAAGCTTATCAGGCGTTATGAAAAGAATTTACATAAAATAAATAGACAACACTTGTCTATATTATTTAATGAAACATATGAATGAAAAAATGCTGCCTAAATACGCACAATTTAAACGGTTTTACTATAGGAATGCATTGTAAATGATTTAAAAAAATGTATTGCAAATGATTTTACTATAGAAATATATTGAATTGTACATTAGTTCACTATAGAAGATTATTGAAAATGAAGAAAAATAACAATAATTCACTGACATTGTTTTATAAGAAAAAAATTGAAAAGATTCCTGAGTAACTTGACGATATCGACTGATATTCCAATGGCGTCGAAGGAGAAAACCAATTAAGGGTAAAAAGAAAGTTTCACTTTTTCTGATTACTTGGTCTTTAAACGCATAAAGACCGAAGTATCTTTGACCTTTCTTGTGATTAATATAGATCAGACAATTGTCTAATGATTTTAGTCTGTCCTTAGCAATTTGTCTCCTCCATTTTAGTAATTCACTCTTGAATTCTCCATTTTCTCTCATTTGATTCGTATGTTCATTATTTATTTATCTATTTGATGTGTTCATTATCTATCTATCTATCTATCTATCTATCTATCTAGTAAATTCATTATCTATCTATATATCTATCTAATTTGTGTGTTCATTATCTATACACACATACACATATATATCACCATGTCTTCGTTATCTATCTAGTAAATTCATTATCTATCTATCTATCTATCTATCTATCTATCTATCTATCTATCTATCTAGTAAATTCATTATCTATCTATCTATCTATCTATCTATCTATCTATCTATCTATCTAATTCATTATCTATCTATCTATCTAGTAAATTCATTATCTATCTATCTATCTATCTAATTTGTGTGTTCATTATCTATACACACACACATATATCACCATGTCTTCGTTATCTATCTTGTAAATTCATTATCTATCTATCTATCTATCTATCTATCTATCTATCTATCTATCTAGTAAATTCATTATCTATCTATCTATCTATCTAATTTGTCTATCTATCTATTTATCTATCTAATTTGTGTGTTCATTATCTATACACACATAAACATATATATCACCATGTCTTCGTTATCTATCTAGTAAATTCATTATCTATCTATCTATCTATCTATCTATCCTAAGAGGTCATTGTAAATCAGTTTACAACAAGAATGCATTGTAACTTTGTTTACTATAAGAGTGTATAGTAAACGGTTTTACTATAAGAATGCATTGTAAATGACTTTAAAATAATAATGTATTGCAAAAGATTTTATTACAGGAATACATAGAATGGTAAAAGTTCCTGAGTAACTTGACGATATCGACTGATATTCCAGGGGAGTCAAAGGAAGAAACCAATTAATGGTAAAAAAAAGTTCCACTTTTTTCTGATTACTTGGTCTTTAAACACATAAAGATCGAATTATCTTTGAC